ATTTTTATTGTGGAGGGTGTTGATCATAGATATTATCATCTTCATTATTTTAATTTTAGAGAAATACATAAAACAGTTTCATTAAAATTTCATTAAATATTATATGAAACAATTTCATAACCATATATGAAACAAACTCATCAAAAAAAGTATTATATGAAACAATTTCACAAGATTAAACAATTTCATTAAAAATTTTCATAAGATTAAACAATGAAATCGACGTATGAGGGTGGTTTGTATGGTTTCTACAAATGAGGGTAGTTTTCATTTGATTGCTCCTCTCTCTCTCTCTCTCTCTATATATATATATATATATAATAAAATGAAAACCATAAAAAGGTCTGGAATTGTGATAATCGGTAATTATGGATTGTTTCACATTGTGAATGTGAAAACATAATGTTGTTTCACAATGTAAAACAACACATTATTAATCTTGGTGCTTAACATTTTTATAATTCTTATTTGATTAGTCCTATATATTAATCTTGGTTCTCACACTTCTTACAAATTAACCAAATTCTCGCATGATTTTCCATATCTTTCTCTCTCTCTCTATATAGAGGAAAAAAGTTCGATTAAAAACCAACTTTACATTATAAAATAATGCAAATCTTGGTTATCTATCTCTATTTGATCTAACAATTTATATTAAATTGGATTTTTAATAAAAATGGTTAATTAATATGTTTAGGGGAAAAAAAGAAAGTTCATCTTTTTGTTTCCACATTAACTATATGACTTTTTGTTTTATTTATTTAATTAAACTTTTACACCTTTAATTGTAAGCTAAATTATTTTTAAAAGTACTAATATTTTAATTAAACAAATTATATATAAAAAACGAGTATTTCATTATCCTCGATATGACATACATGCTCATATACTTCTTTTTCATTTTTACCGTTTATTACGTGAAATGGTATATATGTAATATGCGTTACGAATATTCATGTACGTTCATGTGTATACAACAACTCGACACCGTAAGCTCAAAACTTGCCTTTACCTTCTTCAATAACGTAAGTTCGTAACCTGAAAACACTTTCTTCAATTCTAGCATCACATCTTTCATCACCGTAGTCCAACGCCCATCGATACCTATCGAGAACCCATCAAGACTGATTGAGAACCCATCGAGACTGATCAAGAACCACTACTAGAAAACCAGGTATCAGCGATGAATATCAGCGAGGGGAAAAATCCCTCACAGATCAGCGAGAGAATGAGTTTTTGGCCATTCCCTCGCTGATCTACGAGAGATCAGCGAGGGAATGAGTTTCTGGAGAATCCCTCGCTAATCCTGTGAGTCCTACAATACGATCAATCTTCAAATATCAATATGAACATCTAAGAATCCATGGCAATCTTTATAAAATCATGTAAAAACATCAAGAACAAGTAGAAAGTAAAAGTCAACTCAGTCAAACCTTTATAAATCTCTCAATGTTTACGTATGTTTTCAATTAAGCTCCTCTACCTAATTCACTAGAAGACAAACCTATTTATAGGTCAAACAAAAAAGCCTCAAGTCAAAGTCAACAATACTTACAAAGTCAAAGCACTCTAAAATACAATTTTAAATCTTTCAAGACGAATACAATTTAACAGTAAAATTCAATCCCAACATTCACCCCCTTGTATTCAGGCTTGAAAGAATTTGCGCTCTTTGAATCTCTTTTGAACTTTGACGCTTTAAGCTCTTTATAACTTCTTGAAATCTTCAATGTAATCTTCTTACATTCTCCACTTTATGATCTTCAAATGATATTCTGTTAAGAAAAACTTCCAAACATTCTCCCACTCGAATATAGAACAAAAACGATCTTCTCTTTTTACAATAAAGAACAACGACAGTAACAGTCTTCAGAAATGATCTTCAAGATATGATCTTCAAAGAATTTCTTCAGATAAAAATTCACAAACATTCTTCCCAAAATTAACATTCTCCTCATTGAGAAATCTCTATCAGTAAACTTTTGTGAAGATGATGTTCACATTCAATTTCTCTTCAAACAATGTAGCACAAGAACAATCTTCAATCAACGCATTCTCACTCCTTTGAGTCTTTTGCCGGTTCCCGGTCTTTATATCATACTCCCCTTTGATCTATATATCATACTCCCTCTTATATCATTCAGAATTAATTATTTCATTCATTATATCATACCCCCTATGATGAAATGAGAATCATTAGCATCATACATCAGAATGAATAAAATCTTTAGGAAATACCGTCAATTCATAAAATTGTAAGCATATCTTTTCAAATCCACTTGTATAATCTTTTCAGATTAAGAGGATGGGAAAGTAACAACCAATTTCAACTTATGAAATTGTTTTCGACCTTATAAAAGATTGGCATGTGAATATAACAAATATACTCAGTACAACGAATGTACTTCATATATGAGACTTTTTGATGTTCATCTCACCATGACTTCCATTCAATCATTAATATCTTATAAAAAGTATATCTATGAATGTTACGACAAAATAACATATAATTTACAAAATCTGTGTAGTGTAGAAAAAATAAAGCAACATATGCTTCTGTTTAGGCTCAAAAAGATAAA